TGGTGAGGCATTGGAATGGGTTACCCAAGGAAGCAGTGAATGCTCCATCCCTGGTGGTGTTCAAGGCTAGGTTGGACAGAACCTTGGGCAACAAGGGTTTAGTGCGAGGTGTCCCTGCCCATGTCAGGGGGGTTGGAACTAGATGGTCTTAAGGTCATTTCCAACCCCAACTATTCTATGATTCTATGAATACTGGGGACTTGCACTTGAAGACACAAGAGTCTTAAAACTCACCACAAACAGCAGTCGACTAGTAACCTTACAGGTTAAGGAGGATACTTCAGTATGTCAAAGATCTGTCTTTGTCTCCACTAAACAGATGCAGCAGTTTGGAGACTTTTACCACTGAAGCCAGTAATGCTTCAAATAAATGAAATGCAACACACCCCTCCTCAACACTATTTCTTAGAGGCCACAGGACCGTTACTTAGAGCCATGGTACCACCAGCACAGACCAACCATATCTCAAAGAGTAACAAGTAAGAAGGCAGCGTAAAACCTTTCTTCTTAACACTGCACATCAACTGATTCTTTCATTCCTTTTATGCCTTATAACTCAGGCACAATGCTATACTTGCCTTCAGCATTTTTCCATTGTTTTTGCCAAGAAATGTGGTGACAGGGAAGGAAAATCAGTCTTGTAAAAAACAGGCTAGCTTCAGCCCAACTAATTTCTCTTCATAAATTATCCTGAGCTCAGTTTTTACATATTCAACTGCTTAAGACTGATTAACATATATAGTTACCTGAAATGGCTTTTGGTAAATCTCTTCCATAGCTAGTCTTCCGTATTCTGTAAACAACTGATAGAAAGAAGAGTATAAGGGTGACACACATAAAACACATTTTTCTACTGTAAAATATTCTACCATGTCACTAGAAAATAAAACATTTCATCTTAAATTCTATTAAGGACTGAGAATGGCCAATACACCTCATGAACAAGTACACCAATCCTCAGTAAAATTCAGGAAGGAGACACAATTTCCACTGGTTTCACAGTGCCATTCCATAGCTGTCAAAACACCACAGCACTAAGTGGGTACCCTGTGGGCTATTCCCAGACAAAAGCTGGCTGTGTCTCTCAGCAAGCCAGTTTCTAACGTTTGTTTCCAAGGCTAAGAAGGTAAACCTGTATAACATTTTCCCCTTACTTCCCACAAAAGAGTCATTCCTGGAAACCTCAAGGAATTTGGCTAGAGCCAGGCTATCAGACATTTAAATACAAGCCAAGTTAGACAGCTTCCCAGATGTCTTCAGCCTGTGACCTTAACTGATAATTGTTCCCTGCTTCCAGTACAAAAGCAAGTGTCACCTGTCTTCCTCTCATTGCTTTCACCATTTTTAATACCAGCAGCAGTGACCTTCACTGACTGAGTGGGCCAGACAACCCGTGAGAACACAGATTATGGACTATGCTAGCTGTTGCAGCAGAGATCAATACTGTCAGATGTTGATCCATGCTAGCCCCCTTATAGATCCTGGAAGCTGAGATGAAGGAAGCACACCATATCCTCTAGTACCAGGCAACTGTTCTTCTGCATTAAAATTAACTCCTGGAACATCTCAGGTAAATTTCATAGCCAAAAGGACAGTTCCCTGTGCTGACCACAAGAGCACCTGAGAACTTAAAAGACTAATTTAACACAAATTAACTTTCAAGCCTGTGTCACCCTGAGCAAAAGATGCTCTGAAGTTGCCAAGCACCCACACGAGACTGGCTCCTTTGAGCTTAACTCCCTACCCCATTCACTTCCCAGTGAAGGAAAAGGCAACCAGACAGTAACAGTACTTTAGAGTAACAAAATCCTGTAATTACGGAAATTCAGGATTTCCCTCCCTCAGCCCATGATGCCTTGCCTCAACTTCAAATCCATGGTTTTCCCTAACCACTGTTTATCATCCTTCTCTTCCCTACCTTCTCTCAAATGACAACCTTCAGTATAACAGAAAGGGATAGCGCTATTCAGATTGCACTGAGGCTGTCAAAGGGCCAAAACCATGAGGAAAGCCTGGCTTCCAAATTAGCTAAAGCTTTTCTTTTTTTTTTTTCCCAGTGCTTGGTTGAGCTTTTTTGAGGGGTGGGGGAAGCATTGGCCCAGTGATATAACTCTGTTAACTGAGAACAGCATCACAAGGCTATGGTTAGTTAGTGCTCTTCTACTTCCAGTACTGGCAGCCAGTCTTTCGCAGCACTGACCAAGACACAAGTCCTTTCAATCAGAAGACATGTAAAACAGTTTTAAGCTGTGACAAGGTCATGGCCTGAGCACAGGCAAGCATTTGTTAATATACAATCTAGCCTTTAAAGCTACAGGTTTTAGCTTAAGGAGATAAAGTTCTTGCACCTTTCACATGAAGCCAGAATTTAGTGGCCTTTGACCACAATGTTCCATAGAGGATGAAACCCCACATTAGAGAGAGCACAAGTCTTTCCTGGTTTTGTTTCTAAGCAGAAATAAAACTCTGTAGAAGTTTCTCAGTTGAAAAACTAGAGAAGGCTTTTGGATAAAAGATACTCTTTCTGCCCTGACCCAAACTCTCATGTTTCTTTAGAAACAAATTTAGAAATACCATCCATTTTCCTATTTTAGGGAAAAAGGAGAAACATTGGAATTTTCTCATTAAGTACTTCATAAATCATTTTCCTTTCTCATTCTTTTAGGAATTTCAGAACTTGCAAATAGAGAACAGACTTTAGAAAGATAAGATTTAGGCAGATTAGAAGCCTGTACTGCTTCACCTCTGCGTTGGCACAGCAGAGGCATCACAGCATCATGGAGTTGATGCAAATAATGTTATTATAGGCAGTACTAGTTTTAGCATCAGGGCAGCTTCAGTGTTTTATATGAAGCAGCAGGCAGCTCCCAAATCACAGTTACATGAGTAGCAACTTCAAGAACAGTGTCAAGGCTATCAGTTCAGAAGCAGCTTAATATAAATATACCTGCAAATGTTGAAGGTCATCTTCCTGAATATTCTGGGACAAGTTGTACACCTGTAAGAGACAGTAAAAGAACTACAGTGTAACATGAAAACGTTATCTTACATTCATGTAGTCTCTTCTAGATATCTTGATTATTTCTACCCCCTCCAGAAAAAGCCTAACTACCCAGAAGTTAGCAACTAGAAAGGTGTCACAGAACACATCTCAAACTAAAATCACTTCCTTATACAAAGTGCAAGGAACAAAACCACTGCCGACTACCCTAATCCTTCTTACAATAGCTTCTTCCCAAGGAAGCAAGCCCTAAAAGGGATCAACAGAAGACTTCTGAATGCTTCAAATCACCATATAGGTGTGAGACAGGAGGACTGAGAAGGGCACATCTCTTTGTCACCTTCAAGTCCAAATGCTTTAGTGATCCAGCAGTGACCCAGCAGCTGCATCTCTGACACAGAAATGACTGGGTAGTCAGTGCTCCAGGGCTATTTTTTTTCTTTCAAATCTTCCCAGAAAAATCTAACTTGATGTGGGGAGCTCATGACTGTTTCAATAGCACAAATACTGTACAGCAGTAAACTCAAAGATGTATCAATAACTCACAGCTTATCCTAAACAGGGGAACAGAACAAGGAAAAAAGGAAAACAAACAAAAAACATCAAAACCAACCCCACAGGGCAGACGTAGTGTTCTACATATTCCTGTTAATTTCATGTTGTAGCATACATGAAGAAAGTCACTTGTCATCCCTTAAAAAGCTGCTCGCTTTTGGCACATTTAACACACAAGCTTAAAAGCAGTTCTGGGCACAGCACAAGAGGATTGTCAGAAGTTTAACAGTATGAGCAATTGTAACTTTAGCTGATGACAGTGTAACTTCACCGCAAACTGTATCTAAGGTCTTAAAAAAAGATTCTGTAACACAACTGTACAGAAGCGGTTGCTACTTTGACATCTTCTGGGGGGATTTCCTAGTTCAGTCAGCAATTTAGCTCAGCTTGGCCTTGGATAACCTTGATTGCACAGAGAAACTTGATCTAGTACACAACATTGAAAATAAGACATTAAGTATGAAAGCTTAAATGATAGTTGGAGGAAGATATGCAGGTGAATTCTGAATGCATGGCTAAAGAGATATATTCTTTGCACATTCAGGACAGAGGGTTCCTATAGCTGCCATTATTTGCCAGCACAGGTATTCTCACCTGAACAGAACTCGTCATGGTGCTCAGAGCAAAAACCGTTGCACAGTCTTTGATAGTAGATTGGCTATCAAAGGCACCTTGGGTATCCATAAGCAGTACAGCAACCTAGAGAGTTTTGAACAGCAGCAATAGTTAACCAAACTGTTAACACTTTTAAATGCCAGGCCATTGGAATAAATTCTATTTCAAGTAGAGAAAGTCTCCGCCCCTACACCTACTTATTAAACCTTAGTCACTTCCCTGCCACTTCCTATATACACCTACAGCTGAGTAAGCACAACTAGAGAGCCCTATCATCAGCATTAAGTCTTTGGCCTTGCTGTATGGGTTACCCTCTCCCACAGAAACAGGCTCCCTCAGCCCAGAGTAGGTATAGTGCAGAGTAACAGACAGCTTTTATCCACTGGAAAAACTTCAGCCTCAGCTGACAAGCCAGCACAGTTCATTAAAGCTAAGAATGAGATGGTTGATTTTAAAAATAACCATCTTTAAGTAATCATTTTCAGAAGAAAACAAGATAATTGATAATGTCTGTTGGAATTACAAGGAATGATGCAATCTTAATGATAAAAGTTAATCTGTCCAATTCCCACCTTTGGGATCTATACTATACTTGCCTTCTCTTTCAGTTAGAGATGACTGATAAGCAAGAACAAGTAAGTGATTTGTCCCCAGAGCACAAACAGATCCTCACAACTGTTTTTTAGCTAGAGAACTGTCTGCTTAGCTGTGAAATTTGATAAAACTTCCTGCATGCCCTTAAGCCACTACCTGTTTAAGATCAGTGTCCCATATTAATTGGCCATCAGATGATTCCTTTGCAAACATAAAGGGTATGAAAGTTAAATAACCGAGAGCTTATAGTTCAGGAGAACAAGAGCTCAAGATACACCACCACTATTGTGGAGTAAATATTTATTAACATTAACACTTTGTTTCAGCATGAAGAGAAACACCTACAAAAAAACTTTGTAGTTAAACTGACTTAAAGAGTTAAAAAAGATGCACCAGCTCTGATTACAACAGAGTCAATGCCTTTTAACCCAGTGTTAGACTTAGTCCTTTTTTACAGACTACCTGTTAAACTATATGGAAGGACCAGCTTGCAGACACCAAAGCTATTTCCAGTACTTTCAGCTACGCATTACATTTCACTAGAACACAGCTGCAAGTTAGAACACATTCTCATCTCTCAAAAAACAGTGTTTGTTACAGAGCTGTTCTTATCACAGCGTTTGTCTGTACGTAGGATTTATAGCCATCAGAGTTTATAACATCCACAGGATAACCCACCCATCAGCCTGGACACAGTACACTTTGCCAAAACAAATTACTCTCAGAATGGGACCATTGTTGGAGCTTGAATCTTACAAACCAGCAGGAAAGTTCATACTGATAAAAGGTTTGCAAATATGCTATGCAGCTACTGAATGCAAAGGAAAGCAGCTGATGTTTGAATTGCCTCCATGAAACCTATGGCATTAAAGGTATACACACAGAGGCAAGAATCCTTACATACACCTACTTAAGTCAAGCACTTACCTTTGTTCCATTGGGCTTATCAATTACAAATACTTCACTCCAAATCTGTATGCCAGTGGTTTCCCGTTCACATCCACCTCTCCATGTAAACCCAGTCAATGGCTCAGTGTTTCCACCTATCCAGCAAGGAGAAGTCTACAAAACAAGAGGAGAAACTTACTTAAAACCAAAGATGAGAGAGTTTTTTCTAACATTATATGTTTTAGCAGACTTCCACATTGTTCTCTCGTTTTCTTCAGTGCAGACTGGCAACACTACACAAATATTAAAACACAATGCCACTCTGCTGTGTTTCAAGGCTCATCCACAAAGAAAGGTCATTCAGGTCTAGTGTATGCCAATGGTTGCACAATTCTTCAGCCACTGAAGAGTGTATGTGCACAGCCTTTAAGTCCCAAGGACCCACAGCTAATGAGAACAGCTCAGCTTTGTCAAGCTCAGCTCGAGTCAAGACTTAACCAAGTCAAGATCTCTTCCCACTCACAAACAGATCAACTGCTGAAACCAGCTAAATGCCTAAGTCCCTGTGCTGACAGAGGCCAGCACAAGACTCCCAATACCAGCTTGCAGAAGCCAAGGAGAACAGGCAAGGACCATAAGATGCAAACTCCGAAATTGTCACAGTTACAAAATACTTTTTCCTAAGTTGATTCAGCATCAAAAGAAAAGGTCAAACTGAGAGTTTGATATATAACAATCAATCCATCCATATTAAAAATGTATTGGCATGTTGCCCAGTTTGGGAAAGGCTACCAGAGAGTAAAGTACAGTTTGCAGCTAACATTTCTGACTGTAACAAGGTCTTCAGTCCTCAAGGACAGGCAGCACACAGAGCAGTGGCTCATGCAGAAGAACCCAGCCATTTTATGAGCACATTTAACCCAGATACATAGTTTATGTACTGGGCAAGCAAGGAGTGTGAACAGGCACCCTCAGGAAGTTTCACTGCAATAGGTTTATATACACTGAAATTCTACAACAGGCAGACAATAGTTTAATTGATGAGAGGGCTAAGAGAAAAACCTTTCTTTCACAGGTGAGAAGACAGTTTGCTGGCAGAACAGAAAGACATTTAATTAATTTGCCTCTGACTGCCCAGAAAAGAAGGAAAATGTGCTCTTTGAGAAGGTCAAAGGGGAGACTTCTCAATTCATTAGACTGTGGTCTCTACCTTGCTGACTCTGCACTGGCAGTCTTCAGAGAATAGCTCAAGACACATCCCTTCATGTCTCAGAACACAGCATGAGCACGCGGGGGCTGTATGGAATAGGAATATTTACAAGTGAAACTGCTTATTTCTAAATGGGGATGGGGAAAACCTACATGTGTACCTCATGCCTAGCAGCATGAAAGGCAAACCATCCCAAGAGAGAAAGGCAATCATGCAGCACTTAGCATTCTCCCAAAGCTAAGTGCACACCATTCAACTCTGCTATTTCAATTGGACACAGCAAAGTAAATGAGATGAGCAGATAGAAAGTGAGATGAACACAGGTACCCAAGTGAATCATAGCTCTTTACAGGTAGGTGGTTTGGGTGTTTGTTTGTTTGGAGTGGCAGGTTTTCTATGTTTGCTTTGTCATGTACATACACCTCTACCAGAGAGACAAAGCAAAACCTGAACAGCTTTCCCCTGGAGTTTTTCATCCCAGAAGATGCTTATGCATCCACTGACCACTCAAGAAATCAAAGCTCCAGGCCTGCTTTGGGCTTCAGTACACTCCGGTTTGGTAATTCTGAATCAGACTTCCCAGGTATATGTCAGTGGACTGCAGCTTTTCACTTTTGCAAAAGAATCTGTTACATTATTTAACAATATGCTCCATTAAGCATTTATACAAGAATGCTTTTCCCCAGTATGGTCCAAACCCCCTTCCCCCAGGGAAGCAGTGTGAAAGCACCAGTCAAATCTGATGAATCAACGAATGGTTATGGGACTGGTGTCACAGGCAGGGGTTCAGCTACTTAGACCATGGGACTCACTTTGAGAAACTTGGTCTATACTGGGAGCTGATGGGGTCCATATGTCAGAGAAGGGGAAGAGCATCTTCAGTCACAGGCTTGCCAAGCTGGTGAAGGCTTTAAACTAAAGTTGCTGGAGGAGAGGAACCTCAATCCAGCCCTCTCTTAGCAGTCTCACACCAGTGCCAGCAAGAGATGACCAGAACCTGGAAAGGACAGGAAAGCACCTGAAGAGCAGCAAAAAAAGAACTCCAGCTACTCCAGCCAGTAAGTCAGCTTCAGCAGCGCCCCAACTGAAATGCCTCTATGCAAAGGCACATAGCATGGGGAATAAACAAGTAGTTAGAGACGCACACACACCTGCAGGGCTATCATCTTATTTGCATCAGAGAGACATGGTGGGATTACTCCTCTGGCTATGTATTGGAAGTATTGGAAAGGAAGGATACAGGCTCTTCAGGAAGGACAGGCAGAGGAGACAAGGTGGGGGTGTCACCCTCTATGTCAATGATCAGTGCACAGAGCTGTGCCTGGGGATGGATAAGGAGCTGACCAAAAGCTTATTGATCAGGATTAAAAAGAGGGCAGGGACAGGTGACATTGTAGTGGAGATCTGCTACAAGCCACCTGACCAGGAAGACAAAAAGGATGAGGCCCTCTACAGTCAGATAGAAGCAGCCTCACACTCACAAGCCCTGATCCCCATGGGGAACTTCAACCACTCCAACACCAGTTAAAGGGACAACACAGCAGGGCACAAGCAATACAGGAGGTTCCTGGAAATTCTTTCTCCAAACAGTAGAGGAACCAGTGAGAAGAGGTGCTATGCTGGACCTTGTCCCCACCAGCAAGGAAGGGCTGATCAGGAATGTGAAGCTGGACAGAAACCTTGGCTGCAGCAACCATGAAATGGTGGAGTTCAAGATCCTTAGGGCACTGAGGAGGAAGCATACAGCAAACATGCCACCCTGAACTTCAGGAGAACAGACTATGGCCTCTTGAGAGATCTGCTTGGCAGAATACCATGGGGTAAAGCCCTGGAGGGAACAGGGGCCCAATAAAGCTTGTTATTCAAGGATCACCTTCTCCAAGCTTAGGAGCAATGCAACCTGACAAAAAGTCAGTCAAGCAAAAACACCAGCAGGCCTGCGTGGATCAACAAGGAACTCCTAGACAAACTCCAACACAAAAAGGAGACCTACAGAGGATGTAAACAAGGACTGGTAGCCTGGGAGGAATAGAGAGAAATTGTCTGAGCAGCCAGGGACCAGGTTAGGAAAGCTAAAGCCCTGACAGAATTAAAACTGGCCAGGGATATCAAGGGCAACAACAAAAACTTCTATAGGTACACTGGGGATAAAAAGAAGATAAGAAAAAACGTGATGCCCCTCTGGAAGGAAACAGGAGATCTGGTTACCCAGGACATGGAGAAGGCTGAAGTACTCAATGACTTTTTGCCTCAGACTTCACCTCCAAGTGCTCCAGCCACACTGCCCACATCACAGAAGGCAAAGGCAGGGAACTGGAAGAATGAAGAACTGCCTGTTGTAGGAGATGATCAGGTTGGACACCATCTAAGGAATCTGAAGGTACGCAAGACCACAGGTCCTGAGGGAACTGGTGGATGAAGTGGCTAAGCTACTATCCATTCTATTTATTTGAGAAGTCATGGTAGTCCACTGAGATTCCCACAGACTGGAAAAAGGGACATGTAACCCCCCTTTTTAGAAAGGGAGAAAAGGTAGTTTGGGAAACCATAGGCTGGTCAGTCTCACCTCAGTGCCTGCTAAGATCATGGAGCAGATCCTCCTGGAAACTGTGCTAAGGCACACGGACAAAGGCAGTGATTGATAACAGCCAACATGTCTTCACTGAAGGCAAATTGTGCCTGACAAATTTGGTGTAACAGAGTTACAGCATTGGTGGATAAGGGAAGAGCAACTGGAGTCATCTACCTGGATTTGTGCAAGGCAAAAAATGATGCTGTCCCACATGACATCCATGTCTCTAAACTGGAGAGACAAGACTTTGATATATGGACCACTCAGTAGATAAGGAATTGGTTGGATGGTCATACTCAAGAGAGTAGCGGTCAACAGTTCAATGTCCAAGTGGGGACTGGTGAGTGGTGCTCCTCAGGGGTTGGTGTTGGGACCAATCCTGTTCAACAACTTTGTTGGCAACATGGGCAGTGGAATCGAGCACCCTCAGCAAGTTTGCGATGACACCAACTGTGTGGTGCAGTCAACACCCTGGAGGGAAGGGATACCATCCAGAGGGACCGAGACAAGCTTGAGAGTTGGGCCAGTGCAAACTTCATGAAGTTCAACAAGGCCATGTGCAAGGTCTTACACCTGGGTCAGGGCAATCCCAAGCAAAACACAGGCTGGGCAGAAAATAGATTGAGAACAGCCCTGAGAAGGACTGGGGGATGTAGGCTGACAAGCAGCTCAACATTACCCAGCAATGTGCATTTCCAGCACAGAAACCAACTGTGTCCTGGGCTGCACCACCAACAGCATGACCAGCAGGTTGAGGGAGGGGATTCTTCCTGTCTGCTCTGCTCTCATGAGACCCCACCTGCTACTGTGCCCAGCTCTGGGGCCTCAACATAAGCTTCCAGTGCCTAAAGGGGGCCTACAAGAAAGGAGTAGACGGACTTTTTACAAGGGCGTGTAATGACAGGACAAGGGGGAATGGCTTTAACCTGACAGAGGGGAGATTTAGATTAGATATTAAGAAAAAAGGCTTTACTATGAGGGTGGTGAGGCACTGGCACAGGTTGCCCAGAGAAGCTGTGGCTGCCCCATCCCTGGCAGTGTTCAAGACCAGGTTGGACAGGGCTTGGAGCAACCTGGTCTAGTGGAAGGTGCCCCTGCCTGTGGCAGGGGGGTTTGAACCAGATGAGTGTCAAGCTCCCTTCCAACCCAAAATATTCTATGAAATTATCCTTACTTCTAACAATTCAGACCGAAACCACACAAATGTTTTGAGAAGTCCCTCAATAAGCACTAGGTATGACCACATTTGATTTTACAAGTGATTTGTCACAGGAGACTTTGGTGTCTTAACAGGCACAACTTTAGCTGAAGCTGCTTCATCTTGTGGACAATGCACTTAAGCCTGTCTTAACTGACTTTGGCATCAGTCTGAAGTACTCATAGCTTGGTACCTCCATCTTTCCTTAGTTAAACCTCAGTATTTTAACAGTCTCCATCCATCAAGTTGGCTGGAGAGATAGTGAAGAGATGGGAGGAGGAAAAAAAAAGACCTTGTTCTTACAAAAAATTAAGCCAGAAGTTGCACTACAATTTTGTATCAGTCACCTAAAAGATAACCTATTTAAATATACTCCACATTAAGAAAAGGACCAATGCAGCTTTATTTGCACAGTGCCATTAGTACTCACTGCACCTTGCTGCTTAATACAAGCTAAAAAGGTCACATCCTGGTAAAAAAAGCTTTAAATCTAAATTTACTTGTGTTACTGCACCCAACTCTTAATAAGGCTTAAACTGCAACAAAGATCACAGGATCCCTGCAGCACCTTGGTGAGTACACGCTGCTGCTGGTTTGTGGCAGATCATTCTGTTCCCTTTCAAATGAGAAACCGTATCGCTAAGTATCAGTGCTCGGAATGAGATACCCACCTCCCTGAAATTAGCGACCAATCTCAGATGTGCCAAAATCCTACCTGTAACTTCAGTTAGCACAAGTGAGATTTTTGGTTTAAGATAAGAAAATGGGATTATCAAGTATCTTGGCAAGTTTTTCATCACATGTCTTAATATCCACAGGGGAGGATATTCCAAAATTGCTTGATTAGTGTGCAAACTGAATGCAGCTGCTTGAGTATTTTGTGTAGGATCTAATGTTTAGTTCACAGAAAATACAGACCTGTAATTGAGCCTGACTGAAGATGGAGTGGTCAGACTAGAGTGCTACAAAACTATACCAAGGCCTCCCATCCTGTACTGAAATTTGCATAAACACAGAGGATACCATTTGACTTGCTACAATTCAGTAGTGCTCAGAAGAGGAGTTGTGCTTATCTTCTCTCATTCCAAACTGCCAGTTTGCACCAG